GCGAACCATCCGCCACAACAATCCCGCCCCCTTGATAATCGACCAATCACATTCACTTCATTCACTCGTGTAAAGAAAGAGAATTCGGAACTGCAACCGTTGAAACAGCCGCTACCCTAAGGCTCTAAACTTTTCTTTACCACGGATTTCGAATTGCTGACTTTTTAAAATTGGTCATACTGAAAACAAACAACAACCAAAAAAAACAATGTTGAAACTGTGAGCTATGTCCTCCATTCTATTTAATTTCAAAATCATTTTCTATAATATTTGAGGTATTTATTATGATTATTCCATATTTTCCATATCTCCTTAATATTATCCTTATTACCTCAATTAATTTCTTGTAATATTTTTCTTGCTGCTTCTCATTAAATTTGCTAAATTATTTTTATATAGTTGATATTTCATCTCATTCTCATTGTTTTTATTTTTCCTTGTATAGATTTTTAAAGGACAACTTTGGAAAACAAACAAAAACTCAAACGCCTCATCAGTTCTTATCATCTCAGATATTGCAGTGCAATATTGCTGTTTTGTTGATTTATTGTTAAAATTGATAAATGATTGATAATATCATTCACAACAGACCGCTCAATATCTTTTGGTCAGATAAGAGTCTCACTGTGTGATGTAATTCTTGATATTTTTGGGGGGGTTTTTGGAAGTAAATGTTAACTGTAAATTGTATTCATAGATTCTTCTGTTGCATTATGATTACTATTAATGATTTTTTTTCATCTTTTTTTAATCTATTCTCAGAATTAAAAAAATAATACTTTTTTTGTTTGACAAAAATTACAACCAGGGACCATTGAAGCTACATTTCTTTTCAATACCAATAAAAAGTCTTTGATTTATGGAGTCTGTCAGTCTCTTAATTTGTCAAAAATCAACTATTTGTGTAGCTGCAACCACAAGCTGCCACATGTTTTGTTTAACAGAAGTTCTAAATAGGGTTAACTCATATGAGTAAGGTGGCAATGTACCGCAATTTGGATTTCATTCTTATTGCCTTTACTGGCCATGCAGATATGTAGGTTATGTGATGGAGCCAAACTTGACAAAGCTGGATGAAAATAGATGCTTCAAACTCCCTATTAAAGACCCACACTGAGTCATGTGCGCTTGCAGGCAGGTAAACACATATTCTCCCACCAGCAGACAGAGAGCACAACCTTTGAAATCTGGTACGGGTTGGCCATAGAGAGGATTGGGATGATTCCCAAACAGCTGGTCTGTTTCTTTGGCTGTTGCTCAGGATGTGATTTTTCTACCCCAGAAGACACAGTAGCACTGCTATGCCAGTGTGTAGCAGTCCTCAAGGCTGTAGGTGGCTCAGTGCATCATACAAAGGAGATACTAATGCCCCTTGTCAATAAAAAAAACAAATTAAAATAAGAACTAGAGAAAAAGGACAGGTTAAATGAGCAAATATGCTAAAAGAGAAAGAGATGGATGTCCTAGGGAAAGTTTGTGCAGGTGCCACTAGTGTCAGCTGCTATCTGGGAGTTGATGCATAGGAGTGAGGAGGAGGAAGAGACAGAGACTGATGACAACAGAAAAGGGAATGTAGAAAAGGTGATGGAAAATGAAGAGGAGAAGAGCAGGAGAATGGAGCAGAAACCACCAAACAAAACAGTGCCAGTGTATAGGGCTCAGTTGGCAGTCAGTGTTTGCATAGAATTATATTAATCTCTAGAGATCTAAGGATCTTCAAACAGTGGAACATTTTTAGATTTCAGAGCTTGCTTGTTTTCAGGATACAGCTATTGTTTTGGCTCCTTAATAACCTGCTTTGATTTTTAAAATGTGATTAAGTAAACTTTTAAAAACTTCAAACAATTTTTATTTCTATTTATACATACATAGACACACAAAAATGTACACTGTACATAAAGTATACGTTTTTAAATTAGGGTCTCACTGACATGCATCTATTGAGTGGATTAGAGGCTCCTGGGCTGAATTTTATTTTACCCACACGTCTCTGAAGAAGACAAACTGAGAAAAAGTTGGACAGAGAAGCTTTGGCGAGATCAAGAAAGAAAAGTTTGAAAATAAATCAGGTAAAAACTCTCCAAAAATTATATTAAGACATTAGATAAGGAAATATGCAGTAAGACAGCTAAAATATAAGGAAATGAAGAGATAGATATATTAATACACCAAATATGGTACATAAAAGATAAATGAAGAATATTTTTAAATTATTTGAATTTAGCTATGTTCTGTCATCAACCCCCTATCTAAGACCAAAATCTAAAGAGGAAACAACTAATGGATAGTTTCCTATTTGTCCATGTTTAAGTGAGTCTAATAATCAAGACACCCACCTTTGTGTTACAGTCTTTACCCTACGCTCACCATTATTATTTCTATAATTTTTTTGCTGCTGTAAACACCACATTTCTCTTTTGTGGGACAATAAAGGGATTTTCTATTCTACTCTTCTATTCTATTACACATGAATAGACCCTATGTTGAAATCTACTACATTTTTATGTTTACAAATCTTGGAGCTTGAAAATATCCATAAAAAGCAGAATTCCCCCAAAGGTAACAACATTGTGAAAGTGACGACCCACTGTTGCCCCATGTTCAACCTGTAGGAGTTTATGCTGCAAGTTAATCACTGGATGCCATCTGCTGGGTTTCCATTGATGGGAGAATTTAGAAGCAGATCTTTCCATATTATTTAGGTGTTGTGAAATGGCACTTAATGAATAAACTGAACTGGAATAAACAGGAAAAAATATGCAGAAAGAACCACTTACTCCTATTACAATGTAGCAAAAATTGCCCTTTTTAATAAGATAGTGAATGAGGAATTTCATTATTCTTTTCAAGCTTTGCTGCTGTGAATACTGTATCAATAGTGGAATAGTGAATAATTATTTAACCCAGTTAGTGTTAGCTAAAACCAAACTAAACTTCCCAGAAGTTTAGCTTGGTTTTAAACAAAACACTATTGTGAAATGGGACAATTTGGAGGAAAAGCAGAGCGAATCTACACATAAACAATTTGTACATATGAATATTTCATACAGTAGATTACATAGAAATAGATCATAATGTTTGGTACAGACGGAAACATGCAACAGAGATTCACAGGTTGAAAATAGAAATAATTCAACCAATAAATCCAACTTCTAGTTGCTTTTGCTGAAAGAGCCAACGAAGGCAATGGAAATTGTGATGTGATTAAATGTAAACACAAAGCTTTAAACAGAATATGACAAGATTTATACAGGAGCTTCAGCTTTCATTTAAAAACACATATCTATAAGCTAAAGATAATGAAACAGTTATTTAGGAATAAAAGAATTTTGAAAATAACCCCCCCCCCCACATACATATATATAAAGGTATTTCTATAGTACATTTCTTCACCAATTTATCGCTGTGAATCTCTTTCCTTTTATCTTTTTATTACTGTTTTATATTCACAGTACCTGATTTAACAATCTCTTCATTCACTTCACTGTTTGCCACATTTGTTTTTTCAATGTTTCAATCTGCCTGTCTGTCTTCCTTTTTCTTTATTTTACCTCCCTCTTTTTCATTTGTCAAAACTTAGGTGCCTAAACAGGCAAAACGCAAAGATTACAAAAAGTGGGTAAAATGAACCTAAAGAGGAAACAATCTGAATTTGTTGTAAATGAAGAATGAGGCTGGAGCTGTGCAGTCAAATAAAGGCAGTGGAGTCAGAGTAAGGCTGTATTTGCCTGAGGGGAAAAGGCTGAAAAGTAGCTCTCTCAACAGATGTGCGGGGCAGTAAAGTGTAATTGAAATGCCAGCAGCAATGGTCTTATCTCCCTGCTACAGGAGCCTGCTGCCAGTCTCAACATCAGTTAGATGTCATTTTACCTAAGTCTGAATCAGCCTGCCACAATCCGCAATCCCCATTCCTCTGATGGTAGGCAGAAGAAAAAGACAGAAATGGATGAGGGGGAGGAGAAAAAAAGGGGGAGAGGGGAGGGTGGGGATTTTGTAATAGGATTTCAGTAGCACCCAGTTAACTTCCACCACCTGGACTTAGTTGGTAATTTGATATGCCCCATCAATAGGATTCATTTACACCACCATGGCATTACCGTTGCCATTTCTTTGACTTTTTTGAAAAATATATAAAATGGATTCATTTCTTCCCACATATTTCCTTACTTGTCCTGATCCTAATCAAGCTGGAAGAGGGAGGGAGGAGGTGCGGGAGATATGTTCCATAACTTTTAAGCAACATACAATGTCCCTAGACCCAGAGGACATTTACAGACAGGCAGCATGGTTGTCCTGGACTCTGAGCAAGGTTACATTTATTTTTCATTTATTTATTTATTTATTTTTTTAGGCCTTGCAGCATCCCTATGGAGAGAACTATAATGTCCTTCCAGATTAAAGGCTGACACTCCTGAGCTGCTACTTTTTATCACAAACTCTGTTTCCACAACATGGGATCATCTGCAGGACATTAAAGCTGACTTATTTCTAGAATGTAATCCTAACATGGCATGATTTTGGTGCCTGCGGTTATATTTGTGGCAGCGATGAGACTTCTCTCCTCAATCTCACCATTTATGGCTTATATTTTTTTCAGGTGCCATATGACATGAGTTGTAGTAAACCAATAACAAAGTACTTCTAAACTAAAGTGTGCTTTATATCTGATTATACTTGGTGGCTAAATCACTGTCAGATCTCCTGTTCATGCATTCACATTAAAAGTTATTTTTTATGCACTTAAAATGATCCAGATGTATCAGATTAAAGAGAGCTGAATGCACAGAATACTTTTCAGATTTGTCTTTGCTAAAAATTTAAACCAATTCCTCCCTTTTCTTCCACTTCAAAGTAGTATTCATCTGTTATTCTGGGAAACTTTTAGTTTCTATTAAAAACAGTTTTTCAAACATATTTTAATTACTTTTGTCAAATTACGTTACATTATAATTTGAAAGTACCCGTTTTATGACCACATGTTGTTGTTGTTTTTATTTCAGAGGGTGATTTTCAATGTGGTCAATTTCTCAAAAACCAAGAGTCTGTACAGAGATGGCATGTCCCCTGTTGTAAAGTCTACCAGCAGGCCAAAATGGTGAGTAAACATAAAGATTTATATCCATCTTTATAAATACCCATGTAAACACCCTGTGCAATAACCCCTTATAATAATCCTACCAAAAAAAAAAAAAAAAAAAAAAAAAAAGCTGTCATATATGGATGCACTGTATATACTGTTTATATCCCATGCACCTTTTCTTCCTTTGGCACATTCTTCTTCTCTTTTGACTATTAAAGTTGATGTAACGAGTACATTTCTCCACTGTCAGATCAATTAAGTCAATCAATCAATCATCAAGTTTATGTTCTACATCTATGTTTGTATCTTACACTTTATACTTTTCATGTCTGTAGTGTATTAATCTACTGTCAGGATACTCAGAGTATTTTTATTTAAAGTATATATATATATATATATATATATATATATATATATATATATATATATATATATATATATATATATTAATCTAAAGCTTGTCCAATCTGACCAATGGTTTATACACAAAATCACCAACAAACACACTCACTCACATGTTCACTTTACAAACTGAAACTTCACCTGTGCAGACTGGATGCATCTGGGTGCATTAGCATGTTACTTATGGCTTCAAGTCTGATGGCTGTCTGATGCAATATCGCTTGACTGATGGAGATGCAGATATGTGAGCATGCGTGAGTGTGAATGAATAGGTGGGGCAGGAGGGAATGGGCACGGTGCAGTGAGGTTGGGTGTGATGTCTGCCAAGCAGGCTGGTGAATCCAGCGGGGCGAAGAACAGGGGAGTATGATGAAGTGTTGCTATCCAACAGGAGCCCTGACATCTGTCACCGGTTGATGGAGGGCATCGGCAAAAACGGCAGGCATCTGCCACCCTGAGCTGTGCACGTCTGCTAGCTTGGTGCACGCACCAACCATAGCGTGCTGAGTGCAGGCTAATAGGAAGAGACAACGGACACGACAGGATAGTTTGAAAAGATGAACTGCTGTCTGCAGTACAACGCAGTGCAACATGGTACAGCTTAACTTAACCTCTCTGCTCTTTTTGTTTTCATTACTTGTTTAGTTTCAGCTGTCTCTGTTGTTTGCTCATGCAGAGGTATGACTGTTTTCACAGTTTCTATCTCCTAGTGACTGTTTTCACAAAGAGAGACTCTTTAGCTATTTTTTAAGATAGAAATTTTATCTAATTGTTTTATATTTTGTTAGTGTAGCATTATAACCAGCAGTGTATCCAAGTAATTTCTGTGTACAACAAAAGTCTAAATGTCTAAATACGAGTCTTCAATTACTGACCTCTGGACCCACTTTACTGCAGGTTTTCGGTTTTAAATAAATGGGTGATTAATAGGCCTCTGCAGCCCTTGATGGCTGCTGATTAGGGAATCCAATTATTTCATTCAGGTGTGGTGGAGCACAGACTTCTAAAACATTCAGAACAGCTAGTCTTAGGCACCAGGGTGTAATTTTTTTTCTTTCTTTTTTAAAGGCTGAGTGAAATTAGGTTTTTAAAGTGAAATTAAAAAGTTTTTTTTTTTTTTTTCCAGAATAACAAATTTAATATATTTTATATAAGCACTAGAGATCATTGTGGTTTTTATTTTGAAGGCTGATTCCAAATATTTAGTTTGAAAATGTTTAAAATATTCAAGTTGCAATAACTGTTTAGTACCAGGACTGAAACAATTAATCGGATTAATCACGATTAATCGATTATTGAAATAATCGTCAGCTAATTTAGTAAACAATTATTTGGTTGCGGAAGTATAAAGACTGTAAAATATGCCTTTAGCTGACAGAGCTATACACTTAGAGCAGTAATTCTATAAAAATTTGAACAAAATATTTAAACATTTTGCATGCAAGAATAAGAAATTTAAAAAAAGGATTTTTTCATCTGTCAATATGCTCTTTCCAGAATTCCTCAAGTGGAAAAGTTTTGGTTTCCCATGGTGTATTTTTGTAAAAATCTAATTAATCAAAAAAATAATTGACAGATTGATCGATTTTTAAAAATAATCGTTAGTTGCAGCCCTGTTTTGGACCCTCAAACAAAAAAACACAAACTTTAGTTCAGGGTCATTCAAAAGGTACTACTGTACTTCTCTATCGAAGCATTAAAAAAAAAAAAAAAATCCACCATTTTAATCTAATTTTGTCCTGGTTCTGCCACTGAAAATGACAAAGTTGAAGAATAGCCTCAAACACCTTTCTTGGTTGCTGGAAATTGTTCCTTCAGTGGAAATCTACCGTCACATTGTGAACAAATAGATGTGGGTGATTCTAACTTTAAAACTAAAATTAACACACAAGGTATTGATTTGTACAGAAAGCCTCTAAGCTTATTAAATCCTGTTTTACTTTCTTAATCTCTCAATGTAAACTCTAAAATGCTAAGCACCCATGCTTTTAGTGTTTGTTTGTCTTTATTATCCTGTTATTTAGATACAGCAGAATCTGACACCTGACACCTCCACCTCCATTTTCCTCCAAAGGCTAAAATCTGCTTTAACCAAACCTTTCAGCAGCATGCCAGCTAAGGGACATAAAGTCTCCTGCACTTGCAGTGCTATTTTCTAGGCTTCCAAGACCCCAGCTGTCATTGTCTGTGTCCCCAGAAAGTGGCCAAGATGCTTTTAACACAGCCTCCTCTATTTGACTTTCTATGAGCACAACAAAGCACAGATAGCTCCTAAACTAGCAATCTTCTTTTTGACAGTTACAGATATGGAATAAATAAATAAAGGCAGTGTAGAGAGCTTCACATGTCTAGTCCAGACTCACTCATCTTAGGCTGAGGGAGAAGGAAAGAATGAAAAAGAGGGGGGGAGAAGCTTAGACATCAAGAAAGACATTGAGTTTGGAGGAGAAAAAACACAAAAAACAAGACAGAGATTACAAAGTCAGGTAGACATGAAGGAGAGAAGTAGAGAAAGTCAGCAGCAAAAGATTGCTCCCCTCCCCCCACCAGCCTTATGTCTGTTTTTATCAAAAGGATCGTCAGTTTTAGCTAAGGAGATGAAGCCTTTATCTCCCCGTGCAGGTGCCTTATGTCCCGGGGCTCCGGCTTCATTTGGTGCTGGAGGCTGCAGAGCTCAACTGGCCTCAGCAAAGCTGGGCATCTCAGAGACAGACGACTGGCAGATTATAGTCCAGCAGGACATTCACTGCTACAGGTGGAGGGATCTATCGTTTATCCCTTATCCAATCCCCTTTTTCCTTCAGTCCATCCCTCCATGACATTTCTAGCCAGGAGACACCAAAAGCCTTTATTATCTCACTTTATAGCACAGCTGCAGGCAGCATGTTTGATAAGAACAGATTTTCAGGCAAAAAATTAATCGCTTTCTAAAAATATGCAATAATAATGATTAGATTGTCAAGAGTAAATAACTAAACTCAAAGCAGAATTCACTACCTGAATAGTGAAAACAGCTGGATGCAAGCAGAGCTGTTACTTTGCACCATTAGAACCATATTCATTATTCATAGTGACTTCCAAAAATACCAATCAACACTAGAAAGTGGGAATTGACTTAACATTCGGAGTGAAAAAGTGTGAGTACTTATGAGTCAGAGGAAAGAGAGCAAACCATATTTTTTTATACTACACTGTCGAACAAAACAGCCCCCTCGGTGACAGTAAGTGCCAACTGCGCTCCCTGCGGTCTGCTTGTTGTTAGACTCTTAGAGCAAAGAATTGCTCAGGATCCTTATTTCTCGAGATAAGCTAATTAGAAAGTCAGAGAGTGTGGTGTAGTGCAGCTGTTGGAGGCCGGGATGCCATGACTTGGATAATGGCCTGCGAGGTTGCACAAGACTGCATTGAACTTTTAAGGAAAATTCATGATAACATTTTTAATACTCTGCAATAATGAATTGTTTTGTCATTACCAATGCAAATTATTAAATATATTATTCAAAAATGAAAAAAAATGATGTTAGAGGGCAATGTTCTGCTTTAAGGCTTATTAAGACACCTGTCACTTTCCTACTTCTGTCCAATTGCATAGTGAATCATTTCAGTATCTAGATGTAGAGTAGGTTAGTTGCTTATAAAACTGAGCATTAGAAAGGTGAAGATAGATGAATTAAGTGACTTTAAAAAGGACATGATTGATAATACCAGACGGACCTGACGGATGGACTGATTTTCTATGACTTTATTGCAAAACCTCTCAGGTTTGGAGGATGTTGCATGGGTAAAACACCTGGATGATATCAGAGGGCAAAAGGCACACTGCCTTAGGATGATAGAATAATCAGCAGTAGCTTTGATAAACAGCCATATACCAACTCTGAGCAAAAGACATTTTAAAGCTTCTGAAACAGAACACCACACTGGATGTCACCTCTACTCAAATAATTGTATTGCACAGACTGACCAAATAGGTCAGGTCTACTGTATAAAGAAGTATACCTGAGCTTGAGCTGCAACTTTCAGATAGCAGGGTCAGAACTTGGCATTAAAACATTCAAATGGATCCTTTCTGCCTGATATGAACAGATCATTCTGTTGATGGTGGAGTAATTCTATCTGCATTATTTTCTTGGTATAATTTTGTTGTGCATTTTTTAAATACCAGGGGAAGGGCAGGCATTTATCACACTCACCATCTGCATTGCCATTTTCCCCTGCTTCCAAGTTGTGCGTTCCAATACAAATGGGTCAGAGTTGCCGTGACGGACCTCACGTTTTCACTATTTTTTATTTTTTAATAGAGCACAAGAATTACGTGGAAGTGGCGCGAATACAAGGTTTAAGCCTTGTATTCGCGCCACTTCCGAATAGGAAGTGGCGCGCGAATAGGAAGTGGCGCCCACAGATGGGCAGCTAACAAAGCTGCATCAACTCATATCACATCAGTTTAGACCAAAATCTCTAAGCAGTGTTCCTAAAGCAGTAAAAGACCTGTCTCATTATATAAAGGCATCGCTAAAGCATTCAAACTGGGAAAAGTGAGGTTTGATTAAAAAGTAAACTGTGAGCATATTTTTGAAGGACTAGAGGTCAACATTGCATCTTTAGATATC